AGATTTTATAGATTTTTGCAGGATAATCAGGAAAAGGACATTTTTGAGTACGTTTCGGGAGCTGTAAAAAATCTTATACCACAGGGTGCGTAGTGTTTTTAAAAAGTGCTTATTTCTGATTTACGGTTTTTAAAAGCCCTTAACGGTGCTATTTTTTAAATTCGGAGTTTGTAAAAAGTGCTTCATTTTCTATCTTTTAAAGAGAGATTTTTTCTTTGCCGTGTCGATTGTCGTTCTAAATTACAAAAAAATGCATGCTAAATTCAAAATTTTCTCTGCAATATTTATCAGAAACTAGCTACTTTATCATAATTATGTAAAGTTTTCGAAAATCTTTTTGAATTTTATTGATTTTATGTTGATAGATTAAGAACTTAAAACGATCGAAAAAAATAATTTTTATTACAGTACAGATCCTAATTATGATTTTTTTTTTAATGAAAAGTGATTAAATATATTTGTAAGTGCTTCAAGAAGACTTAAAAGGTGCTTATTTTTTGTTGAAAAATCTGTCCTACGCACCCTGTACCATTAGTACTTATGACAATACTTAATTAAGCATCGATAATAATTTGGTGATTTTTTAAAAGTCCCCCGAAACATTCATTTTCATCATTTATAAGTATACATCTTTAGAGATTAAAAAGACACGAGGCCTGTGGCAGAATTTTTTCGGGCTTTCTGCAACATACCCCTCTAATACTAATAATATCTTTAAGCAAGATGCTTTTAATAACAATTATGCTTGCTACTAATTTAAAGTAACCGAAGCGTTAACTTAAAAAAATAAGTTTTTGGATAAAAAATTTTTTAAAATTTTATTTAAATACGTAATATTTTTTTATTTATTCTAATATGGGCGATATTCTCGCATTTTGTAGGAGGAAAGACGCACTCATTATTTCTTTTTTTCGCATTTTGTTAATCATAATCACATCAAAAAATAAATAAATAATAATAATAAATTTTGAAATTCGTAGCAGTATCTCCCGAAAAAAAGATTGATGACGAAATCACGCGAATCAGACTCTTCAAAAAGGGGTTTACTAAATGCGTGTTTTTGTTTCGAGATTCAGTTGTTGTGATAAATAATGTCGTATTAAAAATATTGGATTTTAAACACTATGTGGAAATTAAAAGTAATGATTGCAAAATAAATAAAGAAAGAAAACAAAAATTTCTGTAGAAGAGAAAAAAATTTTTTTTTTCTTCTTCATTATTCTTTATTTTTCATTATTCTTATTTCAGAATAGAAAAATCACAAGCATTTTTTTCCTATCAGCGAGAAAGGCTTCTTTTGAGTTTAATTCTGCAGAAAAGTTATAATCTTTCGAAAATTTCTGCAAAAAAGGAAACCAAAGTTCTTTACTTCCCAAAGGATAATTCTTTCTGCAAGAACTGGGTACCGTTCTGTGTCGCCACGATTCTGCCACAGGGGACAAGAGATTAAAAAAGGTTTAAAACAGAAGTTTAAAAATATTTGTACATAATCTACATGACTGATGATTCTGAAATAATATATTGTAACAATTCTTAGAATTTCTTAAAACTTTCTTAAAGATTATCTGTAAATTTTAGAAATATATGTATATGCCCTCATAAAATATATTTTTGTTCCATGCTAAAGCAAAAGAAAAGAAAAACTGTGATCACAGGTCACCCATTGGCAAAAAGGTTGTCTAATTATTATTTTCTTATCCTCTTTATTTGTGATAGTCACCTGAATTAGAATTGAAGACGATCCAGTTTAAACTGTAGGTTAGAATTTCTGATTCTTAATTATAACAACAACAAAAAAAATATCGTTCAAATGATGAAATTCTCTTTTATTCACAACTCAAGAAATATTTATGGGATCTCCCCTATCTCAAAAATAAACTCGCCAACTTAATGCATAACAAAATTAAAGGTGAAAAAAAAAGAAGTATAAAAAAATTATCAAACAGCTGCGGTCGCTATAGCAACGCCTGCACTGATGACGCATGCGCACTGTTTACTCTGACTCTTGAACACAGTTAAAAAGTGTAGTGGCGTCCAAATAAGGTGCGCACGCCATCAAACCCAAAAACAACACCCATTTTGCCAATGGTTAAACAAAGAAAAATCTAATCATTCAATGTGTACAATGAATTTACATGTTATTTACAATGACTATACAAAACAACTAATTGATCGAACAACACTTTGGCACATTGAGATTTCATAATTGGGATCTCAAAATACACATTTACTAAACACAGAGACAAAAAGAATGCACGGTTACAACAACAGTTAATTTGTTCTTTCGGTAAAAGTTTTTTCTGTTTCACTCTTCTAGAAATAGACATTTTATTTTTAGTGTAAAAGATTTTCTAAAAAAGATGAGAATAATTTTAAAATTGTGTTCACAACGATTCTTAGAGTTCTGACATTTTAATTGATGCATTCTTTCTATTTCATTTTTCCCCCTCCATCTCATAAAATGGACAAGGCTCAAAAAAAGAAGAAAAAAAAAAAGGACCACTCTGAAGAATAACTTTGATGTAAAGATCGGATCTTCACGTTCTAGGACGCAATCTTAATGATTCGAGGCGTGACTTCAAATATTCTAATTTTATTTTATAACCGTCGTTAAACAGCCTACTCAATTTTTGGGTTTACGACTACTAATATTCAACTCCATCCAGAAGACAAAGAACAAAACTTCCGTTATCTTCCGAGATAAAAAACGAAAGTTCAGTGCTTGATGTCTAATTTTTAAGTTACGAAATCAGACAAAGAAAAACGCATTTTCCTTGAATAAACATACCTGTTTTTCAACGAATTCCGATTTCTGACCCTTAAAATATGGGAGGGTAGCGGCAATCTGGAAAATATGGATTCAATAATTTGGTCAGGAGACCGCTGCAATGTTTGAACTCCTTAAGATTAATTTTCTTTTTCGCGTATTCCGTTACATTTTGAGAACTTTTTAATGTAATTGAAAAAATCTTGCACACATTTATAAAATTCATTTATATAAAGATAATTCCATGCAAAAAAAAAACCTTCATTAAATATTTATTATTTAATTTAATAATGGTCTAAAAAATTTTAAATTGCAAGGTATAAAAATTTTTCGCACCATTTTAAAGAATATAATTTTGCATGGCAAAATAAAAAATTCGAGCAAAATCGGTCGAATAGTTTCTGAGAAATTGAATTTCATAAAAATTCAGATATTTAAAATTCGATTTCTCAGGACTCGACCGATTTTGCCCAAATTTTGTATTTTGCTATGTAAAATTATTTTCTTTAAAATGGTGTAATAAATCATATATCTCACAATCCAAAATTTTTTTTCGACCATTATTCAATAAAGTAATAGTAAATATTTACTAAAAAAATATTTTTTGCATGGAATTACCTTTGGTCAAACGAATTTTATAATTGTATGCAAAACTTTCTTATTTAGCATTCGAGATACAGCGAAATACCCACAAAAGTAAAATTAACAATAAGAGGTCCAAACTTTGGAACGCTCTCCTGTCCAAAATATGGGGGCCAGATTGCGGCTCAGAAATCCGAATCCGTCGAAAAAGGGTACTTTTTATTCAGAGAAAGTACTTTTTTGTGTCTCATTTCGTAACTAAAAATATCGTCTACAATTAATAATTATCATATTTGATGTCATCCCCGCGAACCATTAGGATTGAGATCTGGAACGTAAAAATCCGATCATTAGATCAAAAGTTATTCAGGGTGTTTTTTTTTTTGTTGTTTTTTTTTAAATTTTTTTCTCGCTGTACAGTAAGGTATACATTTAAGAAAATAAAAATAGACTAGGCATCACAAGTTTACACGATTTCCCCACTCTTTTCCTTTAACACCTTTCGTTACCATGGTTTCTTTTTGATGAAGGCAGTATGTTTTAGAAAGAATGCATTGGGGTGGGGAAAACGTGATTTACCAAAATCTTAATAATGGAGACGAAAATGTACGGGGAGTGGAAAAATCGCTTGACATCGAGACGTCATTCGTTTTTTTTTACAAAGAATATAATAATATAGAAAGAATATAATAATACATACGTTATATTTTGGAACTTAAAATCGCTTAGTTTTTCGGAGAATGTGAGCAATTTTAATTAAATACCTTGTTATAATCATGGCGGTTTGTTAGATAATAAAATTTTGAATATAAAAATAATGATAAATTTCAAATATAATGGTAATAAGCAGAGATAAATCAATATTTTAAGTTAAAATAATAAAAATTCCAGTCGTCTAAAAGACTAGATATCTTATGATATAATAATAATATATTGTATGAGCGTTTGATTGAGGATATGATTTAAATCGAAGAAACTAACGAAAGGAGCTGTAAAGTTGGTGCAAACAGCTGTATGGATGGATAAATAGAATTAGTTTTATAGAATTGGGGTTTGTTGTTCGTCCATTGTAATGAAACAGCTGTATGGATGGATAAATGGCAAAATTAGTTTTATAAAATTGGTGTTTGTTGTTCCTCCATTGTAATGAAACAGCTGTATGGATGGATAAATAACAAAATTAGTTCTTTAGAATCGGTGTTTGTTGTTCGTCCATCTTTATGAAACAGCTGTAGGCATGTACATTTTTATGTGACGCCGTTCTATTTTAAATACTTCATCCCTGGAAGCAGTGGCCCTGATGTATTCGTCTCCAGCTTTTGCTTCCGGTGATGATTTTGATATTTGTCTATGGTGCAATGTTTTTTAAATATTGTCTGTCTAACGAAAGAACTCTTCTTGACAGTTTTCTGAAGCGCTAGTGGTTATAAGGTGAGACTAGTTTGACTCTTAAGGCCTGTTTATACGGTTTAAGTTCATGAATCCGAGATATTGAAGAAATTTCTTTCTCCAAGAAATTGGAAGATTCCAAGTTCTTGAATATCACTGATTGGTCTGATGAAAATCCTGCGCGTGTGCATTGTTCATATTCAACATTATAAAATCATACTTACATGAATAAATTCAAATAAAATCATAATAACACAAATAGATCATAACAGATTAATTTATTTGAACTAAAATATATGAAAACGGACAACAAAATGGCATAATCTGATGGCCGCTTGTTAACGTCACAAAACTTAAGAAGCTGATTGGTTAAAGGAGGAAAGACTTGGATGTGAAAAGTAGAAAAAGCTCTACTATCATCCAAAGATTTGGACCAAGAACTTGGATGATCGTTTACACGATCTAAGCTCAAAGCAAAACAAATTTCAATCAATCTTCGTCCAAGAACTTGGATCGTATAAACAGGCCTTTACAACAGATTTTAAGATCGGATTGGCGAATGAAGTATCATGAGTTCTCTTCTTTGAGCTGCATCTTAACATGTTTCCATAGCAAGAGACAGCCTCAGACTCAGAAGTTGGGAGGAGCTCTTCGTTTAGACAGACAGTACCATTCCTGTTAACCTTGAACGAGCTTCATGAGTCGATCTCATGTATTTCGGTCGAAAGATTAGTAATTTAAGTAATTAACGTGAAAGTTAAGAAGAAAAATTATAACTCAAGTTTTGTTTAAAAGAAATTAATCATAATTTTTCCAGTAAACACAATGCTCACGTTATGAGTCTAATGACTTCAAAATTATTTTGATTTTGGATTACGAAATGATAAATATCAGGAATTTGAATTCTCCACTTGTGACAGTCGATCGATTATTCCAAGGGGGTTGTATAAATACTTTTGCCATCCTTAAATGCAATATACGTCACCTCAGTGACAGTAGCAACCATTTCATCATAGGTTTCTCGCTTGACAAGAGACAACCATTGAAAATTTCTGTCGTTATCGTCTGCTTCTTAAAAGGCCGTATCAGTTCTTAGGATAGAAGTAGTGGTTGTTGTTCATGGATTGCTGGCTTATGCTCACCATTGCAAATGCCATAGTGAATTCTACAATCCTGCAAAAATAGAAATATATTTACATAAATAAAGGAAAAAAATTTTTTTTTTTATTAAAGTAAGTTTTTAAAAAAAGGGGAAATAGTTATAATTCTCCACTTACTTGCCTACTGTAATTTATCAATGACCAATCAGTGACTATAGTTCGTTCACCAGGAGTTGGCACTTGGCTCCGCCTACATCACGTGATATCCGACGATACTATTTAGCTACTTTTGGGAGAAGGATTTCACAATCTTGAACAAGGTTGCTATTTGGCGATCGTATGACAAAAATCTTTGTTTCGCAATATTTATGTGCATTTTCTTAACATTAAATATTTCATAAATTTGATGATATTTCTCTCTTTTGAGTGAACAGTTTGTCTTTTGGGAAAACAGCAGTTTTTAAATTTAAAATATATTTAATGAGCTAGAGTAACGAAAGGTATAATAGAATTCACTGTTTGCGTTTGGAACGCATTAAGGGTTGACTCAATTTCAAGAGCGGAGATGTTTCTCCTCTTTCCCCACGCTGAAATTAACTGAGCGTCTGAGAAGGTGAGTCAAGTGCCAACTCCTGATAAACGAACTATAGTAGCAACAAATTAGAACAATTGTGTCATTTCAAAGTAAAATAACATTATTACTTCAATATTATGGAAATTAGTTAAATGATAGTCAAGTGATATAGTTCAGCTTTTGGGATGGATGTCTCTGCACCTAAACAATAAATGTAGGGTGTAGATGGAATTTTCGTTGTTGATAAAAGTTTATCATCAAAGAGGTGTGTGTACAACTATAGTTTCAATTCACTAGTATATAAGACGTGTGCACTAGTATATAGAGCATGTCAACCTTCATCTATTAAAAGATTCCCCAAGTTAACATTCCTTATGTACTAGGGAATTGGAATTGTATTTTTGTAGTGGTAGACACACTACAGTTCCCAATATTTTTAAAGCAACTAGCTGAATACGTGTGTTTTGTACTGGGTGAAAATAATAAACAGTCAACATATTAGTACTGAATAACATTATGAAATCATGCACAAATATGTGGCTTTACGTTATTATATGAAGAGGAACACGTTCACCCTATCAAAATATAGATGAACTGTATTCATAATCATTTGGCATGAAGCTGTTGCTCCAGGCTAACTAACATGGTAATAAAAATTTACTACAATCACGCGATTTTCTTCAGTACTTATCCTCTTGCAGGGACTGTGAAAAACCTCTTTCACGGTATCTATATCACAGCTTCCAAGTATTGATGCAGTTTTAATTCGTGTCAAATATACTTATATAATACGTTGTACCAACTCACTTAAATTGAATGAGTTAATCCCCTTCTTAAAAAAGAGTGAAACTCAACTTGACTTGAGAACACCTTTGTTTGAGTCAAATATTTGCTTTGCGTCAAATCGAACTTTAGTTGCAGATATTTAAACGAGACTTGAATTATTTTCGCTGAAGCATGATTTAGTGAGTGGCAACATACCAGTTCGTAGAGACTGTTAAAAGTAGATTCAATTTATTACCCATTGGCAAAATGGGCCTTGTTTTGGGTTTAATGGCATGCGCATCTTATTTGAACGTCATCGCACTTTCAACTGTGTGCAAGAGTAATAGTAAACAGTGCACATGCGTCGTCATTGTATGCGTTGCTATGGCGACCGATGCTGTTTGAAAATTTTTTTAGAATTCTTTTTATCACTTTTAATTTTGTTATGCATTAAGTTGGTGAGTTTATTTTTGAAATATGGGACCAGAGAGATCACATAAATACTTTATGAGTTGTGAATAAAAGAGAATTTCATCATATTTGAAAGATATATTTTGTTGTTGTTGTTATAATTAAGAATCAGAAATTCTAAGCTACAGTTCAAACTGGATCGTTTTCAATACTAATTCAGGTAAATAAATAACGAACAAATAAAGAGGGCCCAAGCTGATTAACATGGTCCCAAAAGTTAGAGTTGAAGGAGAAAAAAACGATCCCAAGGCCTAAACTTACCGAGGCTGAAAAAGCATAAGCCAAAGAACGCAGACGGGAATACCTTAAGCGTTACACACAGACGGAAAAACGAAAGGATTCCGTTTGCAAACGCAAGCATGAAGCCTATCCCTCACAAAAGTAGCAAAGTGGTTGATAGAGTTGAACCCTACCAAAGAGCGAATGGTGGCTCTCCGAACCCCTTTCATGCAAATACGAGAACAGCGTGTTGATCACCAATTAGGGATAAAAGGATCCACTGTCAACCTACCCAATGACTTGCTCAAGACCGTAGACTGTCTTCCACGCAATCCCAGCAGATCACCGAAGTTAAGCATCACTGGCTGCGGTCGGTGTGCGGGTGGGTGACCACTTGAATTGGTGTGCGTAGGGACCGAGGGTGTGCGGTATTGGTCCTCGTTAAACTGTTCTACCGTAAAGTGCTCGACTTCGCACGCAGGTCAACGGGCTACCGAAGCGGGGGTGCCATCCCCTCTGCAGAGGATCAAAATTGTGATGGCATGTCTTCGGATCATCCTCAGGGATGTTTCCCAGACCGTCGCCAATAGCCCATTGTGCAGCTCTAGTACGACGTAAATTAACTACAACAACAAGTCTTCCACGCAATATCAATGATTCATTCACTATTCATGCAAAATTGAAAAAAAAACCCAGCTTTCAAACAAATCATATTTCATGTATGAACTTGTGAATCCGAAACGGGTGTATGATGCAGCTTACAATCTTCTTCAAACACCATTGTACCAATCCAAAAATGTTAATATTGATCTCGATTGGCTGTTCAATGTCTGTACAATCATCAAAAGAATTTACACAGAATGTGTCTGATTTGCATTCAAATATGTATGCGAAATTATGTACCGAGCAGTTTAGGATTAACAGTTAAAGATGTCCAAGATGAAAACACAATAAAGATGCTTTTCCAAAAAGACAAAAACAAATTAGACAACAACCATTTTGCCAGTGGGTAATCTGTGATCGCCCAAAGGTGATCAGATTTTTTTCAAAATTTTAGTTCTATACAGAATTTTGTTTAGTAGTTAATTGGGTGTGAGTTATAAGCCAGAATTTGTATCGTTTTATTTTAAAAAAGAGAACAACGTAGATTTTAGTTTGCTATGACGGTGTGATGGAACAATTTGTTTAAATAAATAAAAGACGCTGTGCAAAGCTTGGAGGTAGCGGGTTCGAATCCCGCTACTATCCTGGATGTAACTTCATGCCTTCCTTCTCTGTATTGTTCTATCTGTCCTTCCATTTGACAAAGGTTTCTAAGTCTAAATTAAGCACACAAACCTGCAATGTAATTCCAATAAAATCAAACTTAAATAAAAATGATTGAAACGCAGAGCTATAAGCGATAAGCAGAGAGCTCGCCGCGCTTAACTATACTCAACTCAAAATGATATGTTCTCGCATCGACTAAACGTTTTGTTAAATATTTAATTTTTACTTGTGATATTATCATATTTTTGAACTAAGAAGAATTAAAAGATCAACTTATTAGAAGTGGTATTTCTGAAGAAGACGCTATTTTACTTCTTGGTTAGTAAATATATTTTGTTGTTCATATTTTTAAAATATTATTATTTATAATATGTTATATACACTTTCCACTTAAATCGGCTGTTATTCAGCGTTTTTAAATAAAATACTAGTCATTAAAGTTCTTTTTCAAGAGGAATTGATTAAAACTGAAAGTTCTAAATGTGGATGCTTATGGAATTTTAAAAAATCTGATTCCGTACTAGAATATTTGTGTAAGTGGTAATACAGATCTGTGAAGTTTTCTAGAATTTTTCATCTCTCATATTAAAGTTTTCACTTTTTATTTTAATATTAGTTTAATTTACAACTTAGTCCCAATGTTTTGGATGTATTAACGTGTTTTGGTACAAGATTTTTTTGGATAATTGATTTCTGTCATTTTGTTATTTTTTTTCTTTCTGAAAAGTATTTTCGGAATAATTTATTGTTCATACAAACTAAATGTTCTGTTATTCCCTTAATTATAGTTTGAAAATTCGTAATCCAAAATTACAGTTGTCCAAATTTATCAGATAAAACAATCGTAATCCTAACAAATACATAATGATATGTGGTGTTCGTATATTAACCCGATTAATAGAACTAACTTTGTAAAGGGGTTCATTTTTAAAAAGAAAAAATATTTCGTTTCTTCGAAATTTTTTTTCGCGATAATATAGAACTATCATCTAATATATATCGTGCTAATATAAAAGCTATTAGTGATAATATATTTTATGATAAAACAATAAATGAAGGAGCCAAATTTCTCTTGAAAATGCCTTTTCGAATGTAATAATATTACAATCCGCTATTGCAATACCTGCTGATGGTTTGAAAGAAGAACCAGGGTAGAGCAGCCACTGAGTATAGGAAAGCGTGCGGTCCAAACACTTCGTAGGCCTTGAGGAGGCAGAGAGCCACACCAAAGGACGAGGTGCACATCAGGCGCCTTAACTGCTTTTCAATACGGCTTCGGCACGGACGGATCTTCAGTTCTTCCACGCAACGGCTACAGAAAAAAAATAATTGTGTTAAATAAAACATTTATTTCATTTAGTTTAGCTTTTCTAACAACTAATGGATAAAGAAGTATTTGACTTCATGTATTTAGGACTTTACATGGGAAAATACAAAATTTCGAGCAAAATCGGTCGAATAGATTCTGAGAAATCGAATTTTAAACATCAGATTTTTTTTCGAAATTCGATTTCTCAGGAACTATTTGACCGATTTTGCTCGAATTTTGAATTTTCCCATGTAAAACTATATTCTCTAAAATGTTAAAAAGAAATTTTTTTTTTGACTGATATTAAATAATATAATAAATATTTAATAAAGGGATTATTTTTAGATAAACAAATTTTATAAATGTGAACAAAATTTCTTCAATTATAATAAAAAATTCTCGAGATGTAAAGAAAAACGCATAAATGAAACTTAACATTAAGGGGTCCAAACTTTGAATCGCCCTCCTGACCAAGCTATTGGGACCATATTCTCCAGATTGCTGCTACCCTCCCCCCAACCATATTTTGAGGGTCAGAAATAGGAATTCGTCAAAAAACGGGCATGTTTATTCAGAGAAAGTGCGTTTTTGTGTCTGATTTCGTAACTTAAAATATCGTCTGCACTCAATAATTAGCATCTTTAAAGTCAACCCTTGAACCATTAAGATTGAGTTCCAGAACGTAAAGATCCGATCATTACATCAAAAGTTATTCAGGGTGATCCTTTTTTCCGCTCACTGTACATTTCAATAGATTGTTAAGCATAATTTTATTTTATAAGTGTAAAGTAGATTTGAGTGTAACGTTGTTATCGACTCCAATATCTTTCAGAAGCCTCTTAATGCGTTAGATAAGCCTTAAATTGCGTTAGATAAGCCTCAGTTAGCCTTAAAATTTAGAAGAAGATAAGAAGGAAACAAAATTTTACATGCAGGGGTCTTCTATACTGAGCCATGATGGCTCAGGGGATAGAGCGTTTGCCTTCCAATGAGGTGAACCGGGTTCGAATCCCACCCAGCGATGGCTGGTCGATGCGAATTCCGCATCCGGTTCGCACCGACCACAGTGCTGACGTAAAATATCCTCAGTGGTAGACGGATCATTGTTTAGAGTCCCCTTGCCATTAGGTTAACTCTAGAAGTTTCCCGTGGTCTTCCTCTCCATGTAACGCAAATGCGGGTTAATTCCACCAAAAGTTGTCCCGCAGTGGACTGATCGTTAAGACACGGTTCCCAGTAGAGCACCGAAATCAAGCATCACTGGCTGCGGTGAGTCTGCGGATGGGTGATCACTTGGATCGATCTACAAAGGGACCGAGAGTGTACGGTATTGGTCCTCGTTAAACTGTTCTATCGTAAAGTTCTCGACTTCGTGAGCAGGTCATCGGGCCACCGAAGCGGAGTGTCATCCCCTCTGCGCAAGAACAAAATTGCGATGGCATGTCTTCGGATCATCCTCAGGGATGTTTCCCAGACCGCGCCTAGAGCCCTTTGTGCAGCCAGCTCTAGTATGACGTAAATGAGCTACAACAACAAGTGACATCCTTCAGCCTCATGTGTTTCCACTCATGTAATGCTCGGCCAAACACAGCAAGGGTGTCACCGGAATGTGTCCACATTATTACCACATCTTTGGCCTGTTGGATCCCCAGATTTGAGCTGATCTCTGAACGGCAAGTTGGACTGCCTCTGAGTTTAGCCGATTTCGGGAAGTTTTTACAGCAATGGAAGGAGATTGTGCCGGACATCATAAGTGACTGATATGTTTCAACCGTTTGAGCTGTAAAGACGGAATGTCGAGAAAACCCAGTACACTTCGAACATTGTGGACTACTGACGGTGGGTTACCTATTGCTCAAGCAAGTACATCACACAGCTCATTTTAATGTAAATAGTACATTTTTCAATAAGTAGAATAATACTATAATAATGCAATAATACATTACAAAATAAAATTTTTCACTTAATTGTTATCGCTATCCTCTGAAGTACTCAAAATGTGTTGTCTTTTGCACTTTACGGGAATAATGTAGTCGTCAATAATATGATCACATGGATGTGTGATGATGCTCATAGATTTTCAAAATTCTTGATGGTGCCATCAAAACATTTTGATGGTTTATGTTGTTTTCAGCGCAATTCATGATGGTCCAACATTATTTGATCGTCACCATCCTTCAACATTTTCCATTGTAAGTTCATGGTTCTTGATAGGACCCAACAAACTCCCCTCATTCCATGATGGAAAATACTACTTTAATACTATGACTGTTAAACATCAAGAGAAGTTTGATTGTCATGGACCAACAGTCCGTGATGGTCTATGATAATTCCAACTATACATTTCCATGATGATTTAAAGGGAATTCCTGTTGGTTCTCAGAAATACACCATCAAAATAATATTTTTATGTTAATACATCATGAATCAGTCCAAATTCCTACATTGGGATGATGATTGTTCATGATCGTTCCAATGATGGAAATTTCTGATGCTTCAACAAGAACAAACTTTTAAAACAAGTTGCTATTCTTATGTTGGAACATCATAATTCAGTCCGAATTCCTGCATTGGTTACTTATGTTGGTTACCATCAAAAAATAGGATGTTTCATGATAGAATCATTGATGGTTACTATCAAGATTATGTTGGTCCATCAATAGAAAACCATCAAAAATTTCGACTTTGATAGGAGCAATGACAACGGTAATATTTTTTCTTAAAGGTGAATGACTTACCTTATAGGCGAGTGAATGTTAGAGGACGAGATCAATATATTTTTGTTCGTTTCTTCATCAGGCGATAAAGTAACAGACTGTAAGAAAAAGAAAGATCTAGTTTAATCCAAATAAATCATTCTGACAAAATTGAATACATTAATGTAATACTCAATTACACGCAATCGTGATTACAAGTAATCAAAATATACTATTACACGTAGTCTTGTGACATGCATCATTATCATTTGACATGCAAATATTGTACAGATGTTCGTACATATACTGTGCAGATGTATATTCATATATCATATGTGAGTACATATATTGTACTTATGTGCATACATATATTGAACCAAAATGCTTCTTACAAATTTTACATGGGTATATACATGTTATCTCAATGTATGCAATATGCACAATGGATTACAAGTAATCATGATTACATGTGGTCATATATTTTGATTACGTGCAGTCATAATTACCAGTAATCTTTTTTGTTGTGGTTACTTTGAATTGCAATTACTTGGAATCACGATTACAGATGTAATCAAAATTTTGGTGAATTGTGATCAATATGACAAGTAATTGATTACTGAAATCAATGATTATTATCATGATTGCAGCTGTAATCACGATTTCAAGTAATTGATTACTGAGACTTACAATGAGAGGTTTCATGACAGCCGCATCTTCTGCTTTGGTTTTAGAATCTGGTGGATTGAATCGCGTTGGCGAGTGAGGAATAGAATTCATAGGATAAGTTTCAGAACCTAAGGTGAAAGAATTTACACATGTTTCAACAATATGAAATTTTAACGTAACAAATTATGTATACTGGTGGTAAGAAATTAAGAGAATTTGCAGACTGGGTCGATTATCTCTAGAAATACTGTACCGATTTTAATGAAAATTTATGTATGTACATACGTTAATACACTACAAAACACATAACCATTCAACAATATTGTAATATACCCGCATGATCGTGAGTAACACTCGTTGAAGTAGGAAATTGCTTACATGAAATGATAAACTGCCTTATTTCAAGTATGAAATCACGCTGCAAGTCCTGCATAAGAGAGAACCATACCCTCTATTAACCCATTTTTATTGTTTATTCTGCAACCGCTGTTTTATACCTCCAACGAGTGTTACGTGTGTGCTTATTACAATATTGTTGAATGGTTATTTGTTTTGTAATGTATCAGTGTACGTACATATCAAATTTCATCAAAATCAGTCCAGTAGTTTTATAAATATTCTGCAAATTCTCCTCATTTTTTACAACGGTGTATTTTTCAAAAATATACTTATATGCTCCAAGAAATGTTAATTATAACTTAAAAATATATTAAATAGGTTCGAACATGCTAAGTATGTTTGCAGTGGTTGTCTTGAAATTTTTTCTAGCTAAGGGAGCCACTCCTGTTTGTTGCATTCGTTAGTATTCACAGCTCATAACCCAGAGAGCATGTAACCTTACGGCAACCTTGTCTCGGAATTTTCTTTTTAGTGTCACTAAAATGTTTGTACTGAAAACCTTATTTCAATAAAGCAAAAATGTTGCAGTTTTAAACTTTTCATCCTGAAAGGATTAACCTTTTCCATTAAAATTTCATGACGAGGTGGGTTTCACCTGAGCAGGCAAGACTTTGCGAAAAGAAATCTTATAGTTACCTAGATCTAAGATTATTGTCACCTTGAGACTAGCTTTATTGAAAGATTTCTTTTGACGCTTGTAAACCCTAAGTGAACCTCGATTTAAGGTTTTTATACTAAAGGATAGAGCAGATTGTCTCAGATCTCGTTTTTAGGTTAGAAGGTTTACACATAAGCCGCATAACAAACCTTTTCAGGTTTACATTTAAAGTTTTTGCTGCGTAAAAAATGAACCTTATTTTTCTATCTGGGTAATTATTGTGCTGGCTGCTTCTTTTTTAAACGCATTTTTTTGGATTTGGAATAGGATGCTTACGCTGAGGTGGTGGTGGTGTTCTCTGTTGATCCAAATGGAGGGAGACTGTGCTGGCTGTGAAACTGTGAGTTTGTTCGTTGACATCAGTGATTCGGATTCGAGGCATGAGTTGAACCTCTGCTCCAGGTTCCGCGAACATGTTGACTGGCGTCAGGTTCTTAATTTCGCATCTGCGGTCAGCCTAGTGGTAAAAGATGGGATCAACAAAAGATGAAGATGACTAACAGAAGATCTAGTATTGTAACGTGCAAGGATACAAAAAATAGCAGTTTGTACTGCTACTCCATCACGAGAACTCCTCCAGACTTGTGGTTATCAGGGTGGGTCGCTTTAAATAGGGATACGGAATTTCGCTTTCGTGTAATTCCTTACCCATTACACACCACTTACACGAGCACTGAAAGTAGTCTTCTGACGCCTGAAATAAAGCTTGTTAAATTTACACCATTCCTGAAGGCAAGCAAAAGGAGCCAATCATCACGCGCCTGATTCTAGGCCTGACCAAAGAAAAGAGAAGAATTCTTTATTACCTAACTAACCCGGGGAACTGTTCTATGTTGTACGCAATGGCAAAAAAACAACTTACAGGGTAAGCAACATATTTAGAAGAGCATTTGAACTAAGATCCAGCACATGTGCGTAAGGAGCAGCAAAGGGAAAGCCTGGAGGTACGTCACCTGTGAACTGGTTGTTGGACAATTCTAAATTCTCGTCTCAACTCAACTCTGCTTCCCACCAACCCACTATCAACACGGATGATATAAATGTAATCTCAAAAAATATTTTAACTAATAGTACGGTACTGTTTACCAATAGTGCGAAATAAGCTAACAATAAAAAAAATCAACTTTTTTCTTCTCCCCAACCGTAGTAGTGGCGAGGAGGAGAGGAAGGTGAAAACACGGTTTCAATAACCTCTGTTGTTGTGCCCCTAAATGTTTTCTCTTTTATGCTCGGGAACCACGCCTAACTCTGGGGGACCGGTTTATAATTTGACTATGTAAAGAACTCCCCTAGTCATTCGTCTGGAGTGGTGGCTGTTACTATGGTTACGAGTTTTAGCTATTTCAAGGTAGGACATCATTTAAGACAGGTTTTGACTCGGGTCAGAGAGAGTAAGGAAATCAGGGGGAAAAGAAGCTCCCCTCTTTGAAATGGGATATTTCTTGTTTCTATAGCAGCAGACAGTCTAAGACTTCGTGGCTTTTTACGGACAAGCTATGCATTAAGCCAATGAAAGCTGGATTTTCTTTCCTATTTATATTCTTCAGTCTGACTTAGCGTTGCCTTCGTCCGACAAAGCTTGTCATAAGGCACGGAGTTAGAACTGGTTGCCATGGCGGCTGACATCGACAGTGTTTTAGTCGGGAGGAGTTCTTGTTCTAACTGGACAGTAGCTTAAAGATTATTTATTATGCACGGATAAGTGCACCGTTAAATATTTGTGAAAGATAACCTGCATAATGATCTGCACCTGGACAATGGAACGTAATAAGCGAAGACAACCAAGAAGGGATGAAAGACAGAGAAAACTGCCCCACGCTATGAATAACACCTGCACAAATAGCCACACTATCTGCAAAGGATAGAACAAAATTAATTTCAGGGTATTAAGAAATCTGAATTCAAATACTCACTACACATAAAGTTTCTATATCCAAGTCAAAATTCCCGTTTTGACTTGAGTATAGTTTCCATCACTTTTGATCGCATCAAAAGATTTTGATGGCTTATGTTGGGTTCAGTGCGATTCATGATGGTTCGACATCATTTGATGGTCACCATCATCCAACATTTTCTATTATGCGTTCATGGGTTATGACATGCCAACAAACTTTCCTCTTCCCATGATGGAAGATGATACTTTAATATTATGATGGTTAACCATCAAGAGAAGTTTGATTCTCATGGATCAACAATCCATGATGGTTCCATCTATACATGATGGTTTAATGGGAATTTTTGTTGGTTGTCAGAAATATACCATCAAAAGAATTTTTTTTAAATGTTAGACCATCATAAATCTGCCCGATTTCCTACATTGGAATGATGGTTATTCATGATCATTCAAATATTTGATACTATGATGGAAATTCGTAATGGTCCAAATTGTACAACAATGCATTTTCATGATGGTTTAATAATTCTTGTTGGTTCAGCAGGAATATACCATCAAAACAAATTTCTCTAATGTTGGACCATCACAAATCAGTTCGAATTCCTACATTGGGGTGATGGTTGCTGTTTACCATCAAAAAATATAAAGGTTCATGATGGAATTATTGATGGTTACCATCAAGATTATATTGGTCCATCAATAGAAAACCATCAAAAAGATTGACTTGGGAATTTAAAAAGAACGTTAAAATATTATGTAATTTGTCACAAACCGCGCATCTAGTAGGCGCATGAGCACAATTTTTTTTTTAAAATTTCATTTTGTACTTCTATGTACGAGATTATTTCCGTTTAGTTTATTTTCGATAAATCTTGACTCGCAGCTAATATTAGACTTATGTCTGTATGACGCAACTCTTAAAACTACGCTTACGTTACGTTTACCGTAATCGATCTTGTAAAATCATATTTTGTTGCCTTGAGCTTGTTGTTCTTAAACTTGACTCTCAGCCAATCACAAAATTTTATCTCCATGTTGTAGTTCTTTAAACTACGTTTAGATACTAGCTTCACAGTTCTTGTAAAAGCGTATCGTTTTTTTTAAATTTTAACTTTCAGTCAATCACATACTATTTCCCGCGTGTCACAACTCCTTGAATTATGTTCAAATATAGGAACTATACATAGATATAGGTTTTATAAAGACATGTTGCTTTTACGAGAGCTCTTTGGGTGTACTGAAAAATTCAATACAAATCGTCAGACCAAACCACATACTATTAGCGAATGGGAGGGGGAATAGGAGTAATACAAGCATCTCCCCTAAACAGCAGATTCCGCAATTAAATTTTCGCTCAACATCAATTGAAACATTATTTAAACGCAGAGACTGTTCTCTTCAGAAGTATTCTCTTTCACGAAGTCCATTTAAGGAAAATATCATGATCATCTCACTAGGGGGTTAAGCACCCTGTTCGCTGACGCTCATCAACCCCGATGATTACTTCGCAATAATTTCTGTTTTCTTGGCGTGAAACAGTTGAAATTATTTAACTAAAGATGTATATACTAAAATGAACACTTCTCACATCCAAATATTTCCCTTGCGATACTATTAAGATCTAAAAGTGAACATAAATCATTATTTTTAAGCAATCATTTTTTTTAAAATAATATTTAAAATTAAAAGTAATAACAAAATTGATAAGACTGTAATTTAGTAGTTTTGCTTACCAAAAGGACGGATGTATATTTTAAATACAATTTTTACATTAATCATTTTGTGCATAAAGTTGAAACTTAAGTTCTGAATCATTTAGCGAATCTCTTTAACCGCAATTCATAATAGTAAATTAATGTAAGTTGCATCAAAAAAATAATAATTGTGAAATGGTTATAATAAGATCAGACGCCAATTTAAATAACTTTATCTGAAAATGCAACGTGAAATTACGTTATTCTAATAAGAAAACGAAAAAACAATCCTCTTAAACTCTCAATTTCTCAAAACATAATTTAGAATGACGTTATTCTAACAATTATAAACTATCCTTTATACTCTAAATATAGAGAACAAACAAAATCAAAAACGTAATATTAAGAGTCCCTTTAAATAAGGAATGCAAAAATATTTATAGGTAAACAACATTCATTTTACTCTGATGACAACTAAAGCAATCTAAAAATTAATGTGGGAAAACAGAATCCTACCACGTGATTTTACGGCCACTAAAAATGAATTGACAACAATGGAAAACTGCGACATCATCATTAGATTTGTATAGAGCCCCTGAATTAGAAAAGGATATATAGGAGGTATAGGAGCCTTAGATACAAGTTCGTTGCTTAGCAACCGAGAGATAAATTTGGTATAAACGGAATAATCTTATCTCAAAGAATTTTACCAGACATAGACACAGAGAGCAAATCTATTGAATGAAGATGAGCCATACTTTAATCACGTGAACATTCAAGGCTCGAAGTGTAGTGTAGGTTAACGCTTTAATAGATTACCCTAAGGGAATGCTGAAGGGCTGCAAGGACGCCAGATGTAATGATGAGACAGAAATGAAAGGTGATGATGACAGTGGCGGTGCTCTCGTCACTCATCTGCGACATCTTCACTTGAGTCGTCCTCACAAATGATAGTTGCAAAAGACCGAATGCAGACACGAGGCATGGATAGCCCAGGTCCCACAGCACTTGCAGCATCACCACCGGTAGAGCCTGAAATTAAACCATCACTTTAATGGTTAGTTCAAAGATAGCAAAGCGAGCCACAATAAACAGTTTGAGTCCTATTAGCCAAACCCTCAGCAAAAATGAGTGATTTATGAAAAAGAATAACAAACTGCGTAGTTTACCATAATGGCAAAACTTTATTTAATTTTCAAGTCAACTTCAGTGAAATCTTTCACAGAAGTATATCTTTATAATTTTAACAAACGTCAATAATTAATTCTACAAATAGATGCGTCCCGCAGTGGACTGATTGTAAAGACGCGGTTCCCAGTTGAACACTGAAGTCAGGCATCATTGGATGCGGTCAGTAAGCGGGTGGTTAACCACTTTCATCAGCATGTGTAGGGACCAAGGGTGAGCAGGATTGGTTCTCGTTAAACTGTCCTACGCAAAGTGCTTGACTTCACTCGCAGGTCGTCGGGCTACCGAAGCGGGGGAGCCATCCTCTCTGCAGAGGATCAAAATTGTGATGGCATGTCTTCGGATCATCCTCAGGGACGTTTTCCAGACCGTCGCCAATAGCCTATTGTGCAGCTCCAGTGCGACGTAAATAAAGTACCTAACTACCTACAAATATATATACTACCATTTAAACGCTGTTTAGCTGTCTGTTCAAAGAAAATAATTTCAGTTTAACTCTGTTAAGTGCCTTGAGGCAAAGATTTAAATTTAAACCAAATAGCCCATCATGTTGTAAAGATGTGTCCAGCAAAAACGGTTAAATAACTTAAATATATAAAATAACTTCTAAAATATTTAAGTTAGCAGAGTAAGTGCATGAAAAGTTTCGTCTAAAGGCCTGTTTACGTGGTCTAAATTCTTGACTCCGGGACATTGAAGGAATTCATCTTTCCAAGAAATTGAATGGTTCGTCGACACTATCTTAGTTCTTGAATGTCACTGATTAGTCGGATGAATAACCTGCGCATGCGTGTTGTTCATATCCAACATTTTAAAATCATACTTTCTTGAATTCAAAATAATTACTAACTAAAGTCATAATGTCACAAATAGACAACAAATTAATTTATTTGGATTAAAATATATGTAAACGGACAACAAAATGACATAATCTGATGCCTGCTTGTTGACGTCACAAAACTTAAGAAGCTGATTGGTTAAAGGAGGAAAAACTTGGACCGAAAGTAGAACATGCTCTATAATTCAAGTGCTTGGATGATAGCTTACACGATCCAAACTAAAAGCAAAACACGTTTACATCAATCTTCGTCCAAGAACTTGGATCGTGTAAACAGGCCTTAACTTTCCACAACAGACAACCCAGAAGGCAGTGATGGGCATCATTCACGAAAATTTTATTCATGACTAAATTTATTCTCAATGATTATTGATATGAAAATTTAGCCATTATTCATTATGCATTCATTATGCAAATGTATAAAAATGTTTGAATAATGATTGATGAATAAACTCATTAGTCATGACTAATTTTTCTGAATAAAATTTTGAATAACCAGCGAAAAATGCAATCAATATGTCTTTGTCTATAACGAGATGCAAAACATCGTTTGCTCTTAAACGTCTTATTTTAGGAATTTAACTATAAAACTAATACAAGTATGAATTTTTATTTTTATTTTATTTTAAATTACTCCAGCGTAACATACTTAGTTGTGCTAAAAAGTAGGTTTATAACAGTTTAGTTACTTAAGTTCATTTTAAAATTTTGTTCTAAAATCTATAAAACACAATTTCTTATAGTTTTTGAAAGCAAACGATAATCTTATTTTAAATTCTTAAATAAAATTTTAACTTAAAAAATTAAACGCTTTTTTGCCATGTAACCATTTCTCAAAAGTATGCATTATGTTAAACAAAAGTTAATTTCCTCAAACATTATATAAATATACTTGAAAAGGATTAGCGTTTTATACGTAGTTGTCATAATCGTAGTCAATTAGAGTATTCCATGCCCATTTCTGCTGATCAGTGAAATTATTCAGTTATTCTTGACTAATGAATAAAGAATAATGAATGATTTAATATTTCTGACTAATGAATAAATCTTTATTCATTATTCAGATTTTGAATAATTATTCTTCATTCTTTATTCATTATTCTGAATAACAAATGCCCATCTCTGCCAGAAGGTATGTGGCCTTACGGCAACCTTGTCTCGGAATTTTCTTATTATTGTCACTAAAATGTTTGTACTAAAAACCTTTTTTCAATAAAGCAAAAATATTGCAGTTTCAAACCTTTCATCCTGAAAGAATTAAAAATACTTTTTTAAAGCTTTTTTTAAAAAAAAGTATTGTCACTGAGGTAAAATGGTCATTTAATTCCATAATGACATTTTAGCTGATCTCACAATAGCGATAGGTAAATGGCATTGTCTATTAAAATTTTATGACAAGGTGAATTTTAGCTAAGGATACAAGACGTTGCGAAAAGAAACCTTATAATTACTTACATTAAAGTTTATAAGACCTAACCTCGATTTAAGGTTTTTATATAGAAGGTTGTTTTGTAATTTTCCAATTTTTTTTTAATAGGGTAATGTGCGTAGAATAAAGCAGATTGTCACAAATCTCGTTTCAAGGTTTACACTTAAACTGCACAAAAACCTTTTTAGATTAAAAGGTCGAAAAATAAACCTTATTTTGCTATGTGGCTAGCCAGTAAACGAACTCTGTGAAGATAATTAGAAAGATCATAAATTTTGATGATCTTACTTGTTCCATCACAAAAAAGGAAACAAATAAGATAACTTTTTTTTTAAAAAAAATGTCCAACCCTGGCCGTTTTTCCCCCTCCTAGATTATCAGCGTAAATGAAAAATTCGCAATTTTCGCAAATTTTTATGAGCCCAGATAGTGAAGCGTTGGAGTAAATATTGACAATTTTTTTTATGAAAACTGTGCCTTCTCTTCACATTTGACGTTTTGCTTTATTTTCAAAAATGACCGAACAGCTTTGAATAAACTCAGTTATGTCAATAGCATACCCAAGTTAAAATTCTTGATGGCTCCATCAAAATATTTTGATGGTTTATGTTGGTTTCAGTGTGAGTCATGATGGTCCAACATCATTCGATGGTCACCATCATCCAACATTTTCTATTATGCAATCATGGTTTTGATATGCCAACAAACTTCCCTCATTCGTGACGGAAAATGCTACTTTAATAGTATGATGGTTACCCATCAAGAGAAGTTTGATTCTCATGGACCAACAATCCGTGATGATCCATGATGGTTCCAACTATACATTTCTATGGGGGTTTAATGAGAAATCTTGCTATTTCTCAGAAATATACCATCAGAACAATTTTTTAAATTTTTTTTTATGTTGGACCATCATAAATCATTCCGAACTCCTACATTGAGGTGATGGTTACTTATGTTGGTTACCATCAAAAAAATATGATGGTTCATGATGGAATTATGATGGTTACCATCAATATTATGTCGGTCCATCAATGAAAAAAGCATCAAAATTTTTGACTTGGGTATTATTTTCGTAAAAAGAATCGATTTGAAGAGAGCTTTTCACCTTTCTAGATCCGTAGGGATCGGCGAATAGAACGATGAATCTAGAAGTGGCGAGTATTCCTAAAAATATGTTGAGGGATGACAAGTGTGGTCTTTCGGTCAGTTGAGAATTGAGGCGGAGAACAGTGAGCAAACACAGAATGGACAACACGCAGAAGAGACTTCCCGACCCGTACACATGGACATCCCAGGCCCATTCTAGTTCATATACTATCTGGCTCCAGTCTGGCGGGCGAGCCTCTCGGAACCAATAGGTTTCTGGAAAACAAAAACAAATTATAATTACTACTAAAGTTATCCTGATGCTTAGAGTATGTTCCAGTGGAGACATGTTGATAAAATTTGGTAGGTATAGTTTGTTAGAACTCCCCCCGCCACAAAGTCTTAGGACTTCTGCTGCTATGGAAACAAGAATAGCGCATTTTAGGGAGGGTAGCTTCTCTTTACTCTTGGGATAATACAATAGACAGAGGAAACAGATTCCCTTTACTCCTGCCGACCCAAGCCAAAACCTGTCCTAAACAATGACCCCACACCCCTACTTGAAATAGTTATACTTCGTTACCATAGTCACCGCCACGGGTTCAGACGAATGGCTAGGGGAGTTCTTACTTTAGACAAACTATACGTTTTATGGAGCATGGGAAAAAGAAATCTACAATACTAGATAAAAGGAGAGCCACTAGATGAAAGAAGGACATGCATAAAAGAATATTTGGAGATAAAACTTTACACATACTGTAAACATCTTTTTGAAAGATAATAAAGATTAATTAATTGAAGGATTCTAAGAAATACCTTCTTTTACAGTAAGATTTCCTGTGCTATTTGTCCATTTTTCGGTTGTAGTTGTTTCTTTGTAGTACTGACTTCCCATCTCACTCAACCTATAAACACATAAAACTACTTTTAGTATAATAAATAGTAAATTTCCTTAACTGCACCGAATAATTCCTATTCAATTTTTATAAATCCAATCAATTCATTAATGCCTCCTACGTATTTTTCAATAACTTTAAGCAGAAGATTAAATAGTATTAAATGGTATACTGTTCTCTCCCTTTATATATAATAAAGAATAATTTTTATCTTAGGATAATTATTCTTTATTCAGAAATATCGCATTTATAGCAATAGATGTGTCTTGATAACGACTATTTGCTTTTACCATTCTTGTTTCTCTATTTATTTTATTCATGTTTTTCATGTTAATTTGTGTTTATATATATATATATATATATAAATTGATAGGAAAACGCGTAAAAGTTCTCTTCAGGACGCATTCCTTTACGACAGAAACATTTCAAAATAAATATTAATTCTCCTTAGATAGAATTCATTCTTTAGAAATATGTATATGCCTTTAAAAAAAATAATGTAATTGTAAATGAGTTTAAGATGAAGAAAAAGTAGAAAACAAACTTACCGATATGATGTAAAATAAAATCAAAATATGTTAAAATTAGATTTACTTTTCTAATGACCAGTTTTCGATTTGCTGCTTTATGTAACACTTCGTAAAAATGTGATGCTAAAAATATAGCCAGAAATTTTTCTAAAGAGCAGAGGATAGTCTTAATGGCCTGCGGGAGTGGAAGTTGAAGGGTTAGTATCTTCTAATTGATTGATTCGATTACATTTTTTTCCTTCGATATCTTTTTTTCCCCTTTATTTTTCTTGCTATTTGTAGAATCCTACGTAGTAACAATTGCCATAGCAACACACTTTTTATGATAAATATTAAATGATGTTAGCTTTCTCAAAGCTAACACGAACTTAAAAGATCTCTAAAAAAAAATTAAACCTTGTTTTTTATTAATTATTATTATTTTTCTTTTAAGATTTAAAAGGATTCATGAAATTAATGCTCTCTAAAATTTTAGTTTGTCCGTAAAAAAGATCTTAAAGGAAATATAAAACTCTGATTACGTAAGTTTGAAATCTTGTAATGCGAAATGACTTACGAGTAACATTATTGATATGAATAATGAATTAAAAAAACCGTAAGTTCTTTTAATGGAAGTAAACACAAATACATTTTATGTTTATGATATCGTAGTACATAATCGTTTTTATTCTTTCGATGTGAGGACATACTCTTGTGAGAGAGAAGATTTTGAGGAAGGAAGGAAGGTATTATTGATTACTGAAAAATCGATTGACAAGGGGGTGGGTGGGAAGTAAGTCCAAGGTCATTCGTATCCGCATCTTTTGGAGACACTTGTGGCACATTTGCTTTTTTCCATCTTCTCATGTGTTGAAAGGATTTTACTGTTTTATTCAATAGCTACTATTAATTCACACTCTCTCTGTATCTTGTTCAAAAAATTCAATCGTAAATGAAATACTTTTTAGTCATCCACTCAAGTAGAAATACATTTTTTTTAAACTTGCAGTGGGTAACACTTGATGTTAATACAGTTTTTTTTTCAAATATGAATTCATTCATTAAATTTAATGAATTAATTTTAGTTTTATATGGAAAAAATATGTACATATTTAGTAAAAAGTAACTAAAATAGAATTTTTCTTTGTTGACCTAGGTTGGAATAAATTGTTTTTTTACTACTTGTTTGTTTATTTTTTTAAAAAAGAAAGAGAAACCCGTGGATGCTTTTCATTTCTCGCTGTCTTTCATGATTTTTTCCTCGAAAGTCGATTTTGTTAATATGTTAAACAAAATGAACGGATATATCGCTGGTTCGGAATTAAAACGACACTTCTCATCGAAACAACATGAGAAGTGAGTAGAGAAGAGTCGTTTTAATTTTGAACCAGCGATATAGATTTAAAAAAAAAATCTGTTGTATCTTATTATATTTAAGTAAGAATCTGATGATGGTGTCACAGTTTTCCAATTGTTGTCAATGCATTTTTATCGGCTGGAAAATCACGTGGTAGAATCCAGTTTTCTCACATTAATTTTCAAATTGGTTTGGTTGTTATCACCATATGTTGTTGTTAATTTACGTCGCACTAGAGCTGCACAATGGGCTATTGACGACGGTCTGGGAAACATCCCGGAGGATGATCCGAAGACATGCCATCACAATTTTGATCCTCTGCGGAGGGGATGGCACCCCCTGCTTCGGTAGCCCGACGACCTGCGCGCGAATTTGAGCACTTTACGGTAGCACAGTTTAACGAGGACCCATACCGCACACCCTCGGTCCCTACGCAGACTGATCCAAGTGGTCACCCACCCGCACACTGACCGTAGCCAGTGATGCTTGATCTGCTGAGTCTTAAAGATCAGTCCACTGCGGTACTGTTATCAGCTTAAAATGGATATAAGTCATAATGTTATTGGTTTCCTATAAATATTTTTGCATCCTTAATTTAAAGGCATTTACCTGTACTGTTATTATTACTTTTTTGATTTTGTTTGTTTTCCAAATTAGCAGTTTAGGAGGATTGTTTTTATCATTATTACTATTATTAGAATAACTTAATTCTACGTTGCGTTTTCAGATAAAGTTATTTAAATTGGCATCTGATATTATTAACCGATCTAACAATTATTAATTTTTGGTGAAATTAATATACTATTATGAATTACGATTAAAGAGATTTGTTAAATGATTTAAAACTTAACTTTCAGCTTCATGCACAAATTGTATTGAAAATGCATCCGTCCATTTGGTGAGCAAAAATATTAAATTACATTTGGGAACTCCACCAATTTTGTTACTACTTTTAATTTTAAATGTTATTAAAAAAAATGATGATTTAGAAAAATGGTTTATATTCACTTTTAGATTTTAATAGTATTATAAGGGAAATACTTGGACATGGTAAGTGGCGTTCTTTTAGTACATATATCTTAAAATGAGACATTTCAACTGTTTCACGCTAAGAAACAGCAATTATTGCGAAGGGGTTTTTGAGCTTCAGCGAACAGGAGGCTTAGCCTCTAGTATGAATAAAAACTTGGGTGTACAGAATGTGTGGCATAATCAGAATTAATAAACTTAAAGTAATTTAGATTGTTAAAAACAAGTAACGATAGCCATATATCATACAAAAGTCCAAATTGGTAACAGTTTTAATTTTTCTTCAGTCTTTTTATACATATATATATATTTTAAATTTTTCAATACAAATGCTAAGATTTATATCTGGCAACAACCAATCTCTCACTTTATTACTTTTATTATTATATTCATTCATTTTTCAGTTGTTATTTAAAGGTCATTATTAAAAACAAAAAAAGTGAAAGAAAGTTATTGCAGCTTTTAGTGTTTTTTTTTTGCAAGACAAACCTTTGACGCAGATTACTTATGAAACATTTTTTTTAATACTTTTATTGCATTTTTTGCAATAATTCAGGTTAAAATATTATATTATATTCTAATTTATAGTTAAGATAGCATGAAACACCGATGTATTTTACTGCGNCAGATTACTTATGAAACATTTTTTTAATACTTTTATTGCATTTTTTGCAATAATTCAGGTTAAAATATTATATTCTAATTTATAGTTAAGATAGCATGAAACACCGATGTCTTTTACTGCGTTAAATGTAAAATCTTCCTAACACTTCCAATCAAGGAAATTTTAATTTTGATACGATTTGCTGTTATTTTGATCTAGGAGAAGCAGTTATTCAACACAGGAATTTCTTTAATTTACAAACTCAATTATTGATACGTTTTTGAATGAGAATGAAAAAACATTTCAGCTATTTTTTTTGGAATTCATATTTTAGTACAATTATAATTCCGATTATCTGACATATTCTTTTAGTGACAATTAATTTGTTTTTATAATTAAAAAATACCACAATATATTCTTTTTGTAATTAGAGCGTTAGAAAAACTATATGTAAAAGAAACACGGCTGTCCTATTTGCATCATATATTTTATACTAGCTCGTCATATTTCTGTCATTGCATTTCTGAGGACTACAGAGTGCTATATGTGTGGGTGGGTGTTTTTTTACCTTCAATTCAAAAGTTAAATTTTTTTTAACTAAGCATTAAAAGTTAAATTTATTAATTGCATCATAATCCTTGTACATTTGTCTACAGATCTCTGTAATTTCAAGTTTTTCAATCTTATAATTTTTATCGCAACTAAGCCAATTGTAGCATAAAATTGAAAACTCAAAACAGCGGCTAGATTTTTTTAATATAGAAAGGGTGGGATGTTAAAAGGGTCCATATAATTCTAACTGTCCGTAGTGGTCATGGGTCACAAAGTCCACTTTTAATCTCTTATTAGTTTTCACAATCAATATATTTTGCAGTATAGGATATCATTTCATAGAGACTATCATAAAATCTTTTCTCGAAAAATTTTCAGTGTCTTATAATCTTTTACTACTAAAACATTTTATAATATACGATCATTCCATTGACTATCGTAACATTTTTCAGCGAAAAATGTTGTGCGAAAATTTTTTGTCTCTTATAATCTTTTACAACTAAAACATTTTGCACTATAGAATCATTCCATAGAGACTACCGTAACATTTCTCCGCGAAAAATGTTGAGCGAAAAGTTTTAGTCCTCATAAGATTTTATAACTAAAACATTTTGCTGTACAGGATATACTTCCATCGTATTTTTCGACGAAGAATGTTGCGGTTGAAAATTCTAGTCACTTATAAGCTTTTACAACTAAAAACTTTTTTACAGTATAGGCTGATCCCATAGTAACATTTTTCCGCGAAAAATGTTGCAGAGGAGGATTGATTAGTGATTATCAAAATATTGCAACTTCCTGTTTTAGTTAGAATATATGATTACTGTTTGCCCCATGAATACTGAAGATCAAATTACTTATATTTAATGTAAACATGTCAAAAGATCTGAAAATGTTACGTCAGCCTCTGTGGAACGAAAGTTCCAAACGTAGGCGTTATTCTTCTTTTAGGTGCTAT